AGTCTTTCCGTACTCTTTGCCTGGATTCGCAACCTTCGGGGGGCGCGCTATTTTCGGGATTTATCAGAAGTCACTAACTTTTGACGTTACTTCGCGGGGTCGTTACTATGGGAACTTTACAATAGTAATCAATGTGATCCGTCTGCTAACTTTGTGGGGCAATTCATGACATGGTCTAAAGCGGGACATGTCTTGCAATACGAAAACATGTAAAAAACTTACCGTCAGATGAAAAGGCAACAATTGTCAATATATAGAGATTACTTCATGGTTGGTGAGCGCGTACGATTTTTATTCACGAGTAGTGAAGAATCGAAAACGAACGAGTGAGCGCAGCGAACGAGTGAGTTTGCGATTCTTCACAACGAGTGAATAAAAATCGTACAAGCGAACCAACCATGAGGAAATTTGTTTATTATATATGTACTGAGATATTACAAAATAATGTTAACAACTATCAATTGCGCGGTGAAATCAACACAAAGACCACAACGAGTTGCGAATGATTTTATTCGAGCAAACTGAACGTACAAAACTTCCTACAACATTAAAGTTATTCAATGACTCTGAAGAAAGTGGAACAAAGTCTACTTTTAAACGATTCTTTAACTTTAAATAACAATGAAAATTTTCAGCTTTAAATATCGCCGTTCAAAACCGTAACTAAGATATAAAATTTGAAAAAGTTGACTGTTTTGTAAATCTAATTATAGTAATACATGCATTCTAATCAGAGTCAGAGTCCAGTACTTTTAGCCTTTTGTACCTCTTTGGAGAAGACTTTACCTCAACTTCTTGGATTGCCAACTTCGGGGATTGATTGAGGCTGTTAATAGAAATGCTGAATTGACCTCCATGAATAACAGCGCCCGTGAAAAGCGACATCGCTTTTTGGTGATGATCTGCCGCCGAGCTAGCTGAAGGATCAGTGGAGCATTCTCCAACTTGAGATGAATTAGTTTTCTCTAAGCTATGCACATTCCCGGACATCAGTTCACTTAAAGTACGCGACATTTTTACTTGCTGTTTTTCAGAAACTACAGAATAATTTGTCACACTTTGAAGATTTTTATGTCCCGACAGTTGAATAATATCTGTCGCTGGGATGTCGTTGTTTGTTAAAGTTTGGATCATTGTTTTGCGACCGCTATGGTTCTTTACATTGGGCCCCAGCCCGGCTTTTTCTGCCATTTTTTTCATTAACGAATTCAGCTTGTTCACGCCAACGGCTGACTTTTTAAACCATGGTTTAGAAGAATCTTGTTTTTTACGGTTATTTACTGCTAGATAAAATGGCGCGTTGTTGTCGTTCATTTCCGACGGTCTTTTCTCCGCGTAGAATTTGTAAACAGTGACGGGATCTCTTTCACTTCCCTGAACCGAAAACATTTTCGGTTTTATTTGCCTGACATCTCTGGGATTTTCTCCGGTTCGAGTCTTAGTTTGTCTCTCAGTATACTCTAAAAATTCCTCGCCATTTGTAGTTTGGCGTAGTTGCACATCGCCCCAACACATGTCTCTGTGTTCCTTACAACCACGGAGACCGAAATAGACTGTGTTGTTGAACCAAACTGTATTCAGTAGAGCCTCAGGAGTTGACTTTCCTAACAATCCTTTGTCATACAGCAGTTTTATGTCGTCTTCTGTGAGGGGAACTGAAGCGTTTGGTTTATCGCCTTTGCCTTTCTTCTTGAGATCTCTTTGTTTTGATTTTAATGCCGTTCGTGCTTTTTCAAACTCGACGTCTCTCATAATGCTGTAGCAGTAATTCTTCTTCTTTAAATACCGTTCAAAACTGGCCATCATAGCACGCAAGGAAGTGGGTTCGTAATCTTCGTTGTTTTCTTTCTTTCTTACTGTTATGATAAATTCGCTGATGAATGAACTCAGTTCGTGTGGGGGAATTTCTTCTACAGGCCTTGACTCATCTTTTAGCCTCAAAAACTCCTTAAGCAAAGCAACATTCTGTTCAGGTTTCTTCCTGGTGTTTTCGTTTTCTTGTCCTTCAATAAATTCCTCTACTGAAGTTATATCTGCAAACCTTGAATTGCTCGAAGAAGACGCCATGGTTTTCCTTTTGCCTAGTGACGCCGTCAGTGAAAGGCGGGAAAATCGATACGATTTTTGTCACTAGTGAAAACTTTCGTCTGCGGGTTGTGATTGGTCATACGGTATTTTTCACTGGTGAGAAAAATCGTACAACCAATCAGATTGCGTGTACTCTGCAACGCATCATTTTTATTTGACATATTCATTTTGCAGTAAATCTCAGTACATATATAATAAAACCCGGTATTTGACGAGTGTTGCTAAACGTCGTGGCTCATGGGTACATAATGGGTAGAAGTTGTGGGTAGTAGGTGTGGGTAAATGTCGTGGGTAAAAAAAAATTAAATAGCAAAAAAGTTGTAAAATTTATGAAACGAAAATCGCCGCTTCCATACCAAGAGTCCTAGTCCCCTTCCCCGCGGTCAGCAAAGCAAATAAGCGAATCCTTTAGCACAAACGGACACTAAAAACGCATTTAGGCGAGAAATAAAAGAAACTCTTTACACTATCTAAACCTGAAGCAGGTTAAAGAAAAACTGGAGACTGAACTGCTTTTTCTCAAAGATGTCAACATTCGTGACTGAAACGTCCTTTCAGTTTAAGGAATGATATTCAGAATCGTTACAGCAAAGATTTTATACACAAAACAAAACAAAAAAAGAATCGAGAATATTATATTTCCTTACGGAGATCAATTAAGTTTACATAAATTCTAGCTTCAACTTGAAAGGTTGAGCATGAAAGTGGTTCCTTCGTAAGCTAAGAGACATAAAACGTCATTAAGAAAGACCTCTACCCAAAAATATGAAATTGCTCAAAATTGTCTTTTTTTTTTTCCTCACTTACCTCCCCTTTCCCACGGTGATTGCATTCTATCGTGTTAAAGGGACAGGTTCACGGTTCAGCGCATGCTCATAAACTAAATTGCTTTTTTTTCCAATTTATTATTAATTCTATCGGTTAATAATCCCACTCTCATGTATCTCAGCGATCTCAGAGTGTATTTCAAAGTAGAAGTGTATTTCCGAGTAACCTGAAGTGGGATGGAGGAGCACTAAAATCGCAGAAAAATTAGTGGATTATGCCAACACTACCAACGGTGAATTTATTGTTGACCCCAAGGTTTTATTCCATGGTTAATTAATTTACAGCTAATTGCACCTAAGTTGATCAAGTAACTGCCAGGGGAGTGTGCTGATTGGTTCTTTGACATTATTATGACATGATCATATTGCTTTCATAGACGATTCAGGATGTCCCGGCAGAAAAACATCATTTTGATTAACGAGCATGCGCTGAACAGTGAACCTGTCCCTTTAAAAAATCTCCGCTGATCATTGGGACTGTATACGTAGATCGAATTAAGTTTAATTTATAGTATATAAGCAGTTACAACCAGCCCTGGGCAGGAGGTTGAAGCAGCTATCGCCGTTCAGCGAGTCATTGCTGTCCCATACTTTCTGTAAATTGCACGTTTCGACATATTTTTTACGTCTGTTTCGATTATCTCGCGGTGATCGCTCAGATATCGATAAATCTTCATCAGCAACATGTCTTTTGTACAATGATGGAGTGAAAGAGGACCCAAGTCCCACGTTGATAAGGAAATATCAGGAAGAGGACGAAAAAGAAGCCGCGAAAAGCCTGGCAATCAAGGAGTCGGAGATTTTCGTTTTCTATTTGTTTTTCAATTACTTTACTTTATCATTTTTTTTTCTATACTTTTTTCACCCACGACACCCACGACCCACACCCACGACCCACGACATTTAGTTACACTCTCAGTTTTGTCGTCCTATGTAAATAATACAACGGGAGTATCGCAGATAATCTGTGTGAAGTGCCAGCGGGAAGTTTTGAAATTTTCGAATTGGAAAAATTCCGGAAAAAATGTAATGAGGCCCCAAGAAACCAGTTGGCAGAGTACCACTTTACACGACAGAAGCGCTGCGCTAAGGATTCTCCGGCCGAGTCGGGTCTTAACGATAGACTGAAAAAAAAAACCCGCTTTGCATGATCCGCTTCAGCCTTCAGAAGAACGCAGAAGTCACATTTACATTGCTTGTTTGCTTGCTTATATCGAGCGAACTCGAACTCCATTAACTGTAGCTTCATCCGTTCCTTCCGGTTTCCCATGATGCTCTTCACTTCAGGAATGCTCAAACCAGTATTATTTTGTTGTTGCTGGTTTTCCTCTCTTTCTTGCGCCGTGCTTTGGTTCCCAGAGTAGTAAATCACTTATCACCTCATCCTTTTTTCTCCATTTACATGGAAGCGATTGATAAACCGACATTCAAAGGACACAGCATCGTAACGAATTTTAGATCATGGTTCTACCAAAGACGTGACAAAACTAGCGTTAAAGAATAAATGCTTAGTACAGCCACACGTTGTACTCTGAGATCGTGTAAACCTCAACTGTACGGAGACATTAAAAGCCGATACCTTAGATAACAGCTGCATCTATGGAAAATTACTTTTGCACGAGTCTTATAAAAGGGAAAATTTATTCAACAGGCGGGAATACGCGTGTACTGAATAAATCGTCTATTGCATAAAGGTGCTGGTAATCTTTCACATTTTTCCTTACTGAACATAAACTGTACCGAGGCGTGTCAGTGACTGACGTTTGGACAACCTGTGCTGTAGTCATATTTAGAGTCAAACTGAGTTGCATCACGTCAGTTGACGATATAATGTCAATGAGCCTGTAATCATTTCAGAGTATAGTATAATATAATAGTATAATATGCAATATCCTCTATACCCGAGGTCGTAATACATTCTAATCTCGATCCCTATCATGAAAAACCCCAGATTCTATGACCACCTTGATGTCTTTTCCCTGAGCCTTGTCCTCTTAATTACTTCACTTCACTGACACTCATCGAAAGCAGAATAACACGTGCTCGACTTAAAGTATCAACTTAGTTTAAAAATTTGTGTCCAAATGTTTTTTTTTTTTAGAGAACTGGAAGAAGATCAATACTGGCCCAGTCTGCTTTGGAGCTCGAGATAACTCATATGGGGCTTTCAAAATCAGAGAGAGTGGGGTCATTCGTACCTTTAAACTCGTTCATCTGAATGGGTCAGTTAGATGTCACCGCGATTACCCTCCTTCTTATTGGGGATGTGTGAATCCCGTGTATGGAGACACGAGACTCCTAACCGTCATAACGTTCAAGAACGAATCCCGTCTTTCGTTGGCAGATTACAAGAAAAGAGGTTGTGACCGTCCATATAAGATCGAAGGTGTAGGTGTTAATGAGACCGAACTTTCATTTAACAAACTCCCCTCTCCAATATCTGTGTCTGTTGGAGACGAGTTTCAAATTTGGTACGTACAAGACTTACTTAACTGTTCAGAAGACAACAACAGCGGTCAGACATGTGCTGATGTTTATGCGTGGTACGCGTGATTTAAAGGAAAACAATATGCACCAGGGAAACCTTTGAAATGCAAATGCATTTCAATCTAATAGATTAAATTATGGCTGACTTTTATGTTCAGCAAGCCCTGTTTCAAAAGTGTTGTCTGTTCATGGATATAAGCTCACAGCAAGGGCCAGGGGCGGATCCAGGTTTTTTTTAGGAGGGGGTGCACTCGTCTCTTGCTCTACTTCAACACCAATAAACCAAATAGTTTTTTTTTTTTTTAATGCAGAATACCAGTTGTATTAGAAAACCCAAGGTCATCTAAGGAGGGGGGGGGGGGGGGGGGGGGGTAAGCACCCCCTGCACCCTCCCACAAGATCCGCCCCTGAGGGCTATCGAAACTAGAGAACCGTGCATTTTTGGCGATTAATTAAGTAGAAAGAAAGTCTTTAATGAGTAAATCCAATAAAGGCAGCTAAGAATTTGGAATGTATATACAGAGGAACCTCGACATAACGAACCTCTATATAACGAAGGCCTCAGTATAACAAACGATTTTTTTAATTGATGAGGTTTTGAATTTTATAAAGCTCTTTCTTATAGCTGTATACTGAACATAAATTGTTAGAACAAGCAACCTCGTTTCCAGTGTTCTCTCTCTTACCTTGAGAAAGAACCCTGGTTGCGGCTAGTCACGTGGCTCCCACGGTGGTTTGGCCTCAAGGACCTCAAGGTTGGGGTAGTGCGTATACTCTATTTCCTAACAGGTCCGCCTAGATGACTGACGGCAGCGAAAAACGAAAACATCAGTTAACTTTTGAACTTAAGAGATCGCGTGTTTTTAAAAACCCTACCCCAATGAGGAGTCCGTTATCACAGAAAGTCACATGACCAGCTGCAACCAGAGTTCTTTCTCGAGGCAAGAGAGAACCCTGGGAACGACATTATAGAATAATCAAATTTCTTAGACGTTCCCGTTGTGCAACCGCAAAATAAACACAGCAGGTATGAAATGAGAAATGGTCATGAAGCCTGTCAGATCTCTTTGTTATATGTTTTTGTTAGCCTTTCGGACATGACGGTGCACAGCGTTCAATGACATTCCTATCATTTTGCTTTTTTTTGTTTTGTTGTTGTTGTTGTTGTTGTTTTTTTTTTTTTCACAACGTTGCATTAATTGATTCAATCAATTTCTTAACAATTTTTTAAGCTTATAACTTATTCAAGATAAACTGCGGCACCGCTGATTTGATCTTTTAAGTTTGCCGGCTTTCATAACCAGTTTCCTCTACTAAGGCTACAAATATGATGGGACATGATGGTATATGCCCCATTTGCATGCTAATGTATATGTATCGCATATTCTTTACAGATATATACTGGTACAAAGAGCACACTATTTACTTAAATAGTGGATGTTTTTTGGCCAGTAGTTTATTTTAAGCTATTTTCGTGTTCAAAGGAGCTGTGTCACGAAATTCAGCCAAATTAGGAAATTACAAAATGCCTGTTAAATTAAGAGAAACACCATCAACACTGTTGTTTATGGGCAGGCTTTGTCACTTAAATATCACTGCGCTCTGCATACCAGCTTTTGTGAAAAGAAAGAGGAATGGTCCAAAGGAACTCCAGGATGTTCTGAGAAGAGAAAGGTAGGAAAGGTTAAAACTTATACTAGGAGTGCATCGCATTTGTAGGAACTGGCCGTTTGAGCCGAACAATTTACAAATTTAAAATCTCCCAGTGAGGTGGGATTCTAAAAAAGAGAAGAAAATTTGGGAAACATCTTTTAACGGTTATGCTCGTTTTCCAGCCTTTTAGGGTAGTCCAGTTTTCGTCCTGGTGTTCGTTTTTCAGTCGAAAGACCCGGAAATTTTTCGGACTCAAAGCATTTTCGAGACCCTTTTGGGGGGACATTTCGAGTCCAAAGTTTACCCAAAACTTTCAATAGCAGGAAACTCATCTATGGGCTCATATAACGGCTGGTAATTGGACCTAAAAAGTAGCATAAGAACGGGACTACCTGAGCACCCCTCTCCGGATTCCACAAGCAAACATTTCCCGAAATCTGGAAACCGGATTACCTTCCATGGGCCAAACATAGTTTCAGCTGTTTTGATCTGGTTTCTTAATTAGTTTGCTTATGGTGCATGCCGGTTGATTCGTTGGTTATTTTATATTTACATGTACACATATTTAACAGCTGGTCAGAAGAAGTTTGTTTTCAGAGGAGCAGATCCATTATTTCCTACTGTATTATAACGCTCAGAGCTTAAAGGGCTAAGGCTTCATTGAACATGTACATGCTGTCTTACTAATGGTTGAAGATAACTTGTTATGCTTTTGTTAATGACCAGTTTCAAAATGTACAGCAATAAATCGTGTTTTTTTACCTGTTTTACTCGTACTGTATAATTAGCTTGATAACCACAAAGTTTTCCAGGAACAGAACACCGTGTTCAAGTATTTTAAACAAAGAGTTTACTCTCGCTGTTCAAGACTATAGGTGTATAATAACGTTAACAAGTTTGTACTTTTACGAAACGTTAGCTATAAAAGGTTTAAATAAAGTAGTCAAATATGGGGAAGTCCTAAGATTAGAGGATTATGAAATCCAAACAGGAAAGGTAAAGGGTTGTATGAGAAATTTTAGCATTTAGGTAATATGACTGTAGAGTTTAAAATTATATTCATTTGGAACTAAATTGACTCTCTGTATGGGTATTTCCGACGGCATCGAAATTGCGACGATCGCTTAAGTTGGTGAAGCGACGATCGCAATGCCATCTCAATCAAGTTTGACAACTCAGCGTTAGTCGTGCAATGACGGCAAAGAAGTCTGCTAAATAGTGTGCTGCACGTGCAGTGTTTTCGCTGTGCTTATTAACCTGTTGCTTTTTTTATTATTATTATTTTCTCGTTTCCGTCGTCGTTTTGGTTGCGCTGAGCTCGCTAGTAGCGCTTAATGCCACTCAAAACAATTCTTCACATGCGACGATTTCGCATGAAAAACTGACGATTTGATCTAAGACAAGCGACGAAATCGACTTCCGCAGGTCCCCATACCTTGGCTCTATATTCATTTAGCTTAAGTTTACGATGTGGGCCTGTAGTTTGATTTTATCCGCGTTAGTTTTTGTTTGTTCATGTATTAAGAAACCTTTTAATATCACTCTGCAAATAATTGAAAATAGTGTAATCACAGCATTGAAAACAATGATAATCTTGGGGGACCGGGGAGAATTCTATGTCGCAACTTGGACATTAGCATGCATGATTTGAGTTCAAGAACTAGAACGGGACACCCAACACAGCAAGAAGGTTGAACTTGCTCCAATGTAAGGATATGTAAGATAGTCTTAGATTTTGGGTTACACGCGGTGGATTCTTGATTCTGCATTCCGAAATTTCCTGTATTCCAGAATCAGGACTCCCTTAAATGGAGCGAGTGAATTCATTAGGATACCTTTACCAAAGGTTAATGAAAATAAGAAAGATAAAAGAGAATTAACTGTCGACGGCTTAAATTTCCCCTGACACCGTCATCCTTCAATGTGTAACATTTATGAGCTTTCTAAACATTGTAATGATCAGTGTGACATAATAAAATGTAGCTTGAGGTAACTGAGTATTGTATCTTTTTTGCGTTCAAATTGTTGTTCAGTACCCGATAATTATTGTTTATTCAAACACCCCCCACCTGTGTGGGGCATAAATGTTGTGAAAAACTGCCCCAAAGAAAAAAAATCCTGAAGATAAAATCGCAATCCAAGTAGTGAATACATAACTAAAACACTTACAAATGAGACTCAGTCCACAGCTTCAGGAGTGCTTGACAAAATTATAGAAAAGAAAAGACCTTTTTTGACATATTTTTGACAGAACCTGAAGAAACCAGTTGTCTTGAACATCTATAACCATGCGATACGAAAAATAAATGAAAGTTTTTTCAAAAAGGGGAGTGGCTTTTTTCTCCAATGCCCCTTTTCCTGCTCCCTTTTCCATCTCAATCTGTACTGTTAAATAGCTCGGCCTTTAATTGAAGCATGGTTAGACCACGAGTAGTCCCAATTTTTTCTCAGGGATCACAGGAAGAAATAATAGAATTTATTTGTTTTAAAGCTTACCTAAAGATACACAAAAGAAGTATTTAAACTATCTTTAATTTATTTACTAAAGACATGAAATACACTTTTCATAGACTTTAAGGTGAAAATTAAAGGCTAACTTATGAACCATTTCATAACCGCTTTAAGTTAAGAAGAAAGGTAACTGAAAGGTTCATTTCAAAAACTTTAGGAACTGCTCCTAAAGCGTTCTAAAGTAACATTTAATGAATCTTTTGTGTCAACTTTAGTATAGCTTTAATTTTTCAAAAATGCTTGGTGGTATATCTTTGCTTTGCCTTTAATTCTACTTTAATGTAGTATTAAAGACTCATGTCATCTTTAATTTGTCTTTAATTCTATTTTAATGTTTGATAAAGGCACCAGGTCATCTTTAATTTGCCTTTAATTCCATTCTAATGTTTCATAATACCCCGCGTTTGTCATCTTTAATGTGCCTTCAATTCGATCTATTTTAATGTTCATTAAAAGCCCCAAAGAAGAGAATAAGATAAAGGGATTAAAACTGGGGTATCTCAGCTTGTCGGAGAAAAATATCATAAGTTGAACACTGGAATCCATGACTGCATGGTTCCTCGTAAAGAAATAAATAAATACAGTGAAACAAACAAAATCTACTTTAAAATCAGTTTATTGTCAATAATGTCTAATTCTTATTTTGAAATTATTCACTGCCTACTTTAATGGAAAAACCACTTTGTGGTGAAAAAAAAAATAGACCAAGGACCACAACTTCAAAAAGTTAAAAGTACATCTTTATCAAATAGGTTTGATGATCGTTAATTTATAAAATAAATTCACAACACTGTTCATTGTCAACTTATGAAGATAGTCCTGCAATCACACAGATGAAGTGGTTGAAGAATCAAGATCTGATGCTTGAGCATTAAGGGACCATTCACGAATTTCAGGAGGGT